ACCGAAGGCACTCTGGTGACCAGAATGCCTGCGTGCCGCATTCAGCCGTCAGCCGTTCACCTGCTTTATGCGGATGGGATCACTTTCCTCAAGTCTTCGTGTCGTGGGCAGGCAAGCCAGGGTCGGAAAGAAGCTTCACTTCGCCCTCACACTGTTTGCATGTAAGCCGAGCCTTTGAACACCTCACCACACATGTCGCGTAAAGTTGCTGCCGCCTGGATCCAGACTGCAAGCCGTCCCAAAATCCGTGAGGGCAACACGGCCTCGGTTTCGCAGAATGAGAACATCAAGGTACGAAACTCAGATTTCGCAGCCATTCCTTCCTCGATTCATGAAAGGGGAGGTCACAACAGATACCAAACCTCACAGAGACGTCAGTACTAGCTGAAGAAAGGAAGATGTCACCATGCCCCAAGCCAAAACCGTTGTGCAGCACTACCCGGAAGAACCAATCACGAAGACCTGCATCTCAGGAAGTAACCAACCCGAACACTGGAATGGTTTCAGATACCGGTATCTGCAATCCATGCTGCATTGCGAAGAAGTCAAAGCTGTCTGATCCATCAAGAAATTATCACCCTTGATGTCCTCAGATCATGCAAACGAGCAACTCTGCTGCATGCATCCTGCGCGGCTTCCGTTTAGGAAACGTGTGCATCCAGAATCCGGCCAGTTGTGCCTGCGCAACCTCGGGGGCCTGAGAAGAGGAGCTGTTTGCCAGTAGAAGCCGGCTGGAGCTCCACTTTATAGCAATGCCAAGATGCTGCGGCCCTTCACCTATGGAGCCTTTGACTCCAGCCTTCTTGATTGGGAAGCAGCAGCTCTCATGCTTGTGCTCACGAGGTCACTTGACAAAGCAGAGTCTGGTTGGCCATGGATAAACAACAGCATATTTCGCAAAGATTGTGCCAAGACCTTCTGACAACTTGGAGAGGCCGTGATGCACGGTGTGAGCCTTTGAGTTGCAAACACCTCAGCGGCCTGTAGTAACAGGCTGCTGCTGAAAACCTGCCCAAATCTGCCGATCATGCCAAGCATCTCTGTGCACAATGCTTTGGCAGTGCAAGTAGTTGATGGCTGCCGCCATCTGACCTTTCTCGCATCTGAAACTCTTGCAGGGAGACGCGTCTGGCGCAAAGCAACTCGTTTCAGCCAGGCCGCGATGAACATGCACCTAGGCAATGGTAACAGTTGGATACAGTTGGCATTTGGCATGTCTGATTTGCCACGCTCATCTCATGGAAATGCCCAGGCAACCTAAAGCACAGGCAAGCCACCAAGTCATGATCTGGAAAGACACGTGAACTTCGTGCTCGCTCCTGTCTGTCTTATGCGCAACCAGCGATGTGCTGTTAGCCTGCTGGTGCATTAATCACTGCTTGTGCTCTGCCAGACGTGTTTGTGGTAAGGGACAAGGTAAGGGACGAGATGTGATTCAGCCTGCCAACCTTTGGCAAACATTTGTCTCTTTGCTGCGGTTCTTCCCGCTAGCTTCCTGTTGGCCATCGATGTTGCCATCATGCCTACGCTGCATTCTTTCTTTCAACCGTAGTTCTTGCCCATTCCATCTCTGTTGCATGAAGCGGTGGCGTTTTACACTGGGAAAAATGCAAGACCATGTGGTGCTAGCACATCAAAAGTCGCAGGGATGTCCAATCCCTTTGCGGGCGTTCTGGTTGTTCACATTGCTTCCCTTGCATGACCTCCCCCTGCGATTCTCAGTTTCAACCGCAATCTTGCCATGAGGAGCCACGGCAGAAACACAACGGTCAAAATATGCTAAAATGTACTGAGGCGGGCACACAGAGACAATCAGACAATAGGAAGAGAGATAAGGAGGGAGGGATAATTTAAGAATTGGCGTGGACGCTGCCAATGCCACAAGCGAGGGCTTGTGCAACCTCATGTGCTTACTGCGCAACACGCCCGATCCTGCAAAGCCTGGACCACATCTCCGCCGCTAAATTTCTCCATGACAATGCACCTGGGATGGGCATTGCGTGATGACATTCTTCCGTGGACTTACGGCTCCTCCAGCTTCCTCAGCCTCGTTGCTACAAGCCTGTGCGAAACTCTGCAGTGGCAATTGGACCCACGAACAAGCACATCATACACCAAATCATTGCTACTCGAAGTGTATGGACCCTGCTGCTGCACGAGCCGATTTCAATCCGGGAGGCACAAAGCACTTGTCAAAGAAGACACCGAAGCATTTGACCTGGCACCGCAGTCGTAGGGACGATGCCAACATGAGGCGAAATCAGCGATGCGCAACCCATGTGTACAAAGAAACAGCACTGAAAAGACAGAGCGGCAATGTTCGGATGATCCAATGTTTGGATCATGTCAGCTTCGCGCTTTATGTCTTCAAACCTCAGTGCTACTGAGCTTCGTCCACCCGCTAAGAAGATCAACCTAGGCAAGTAGTGTTTTAAAGCATTCAGAACTAATCATCGAGGCATGGCACGGCGTCTCCACCTTGTCCACCATTTTAACTGCCTGCCGCACCACCAGACTCTTCAACTACTAGCCAAGCTACATTGAAGATATGTCGCCTGATATCATGCCATGGCTGCTACAGTACAGCAACATTAAATTGTAGTTGCACTTGCAACCTAAGGCGTGGGGGGGATCAAATAAGATATCAGTACAGGTCAAAACCAATAAAGGAGGTGAACTATTCACTTCACTTTGTTCCTGTTCCGTTCCGGCAAAGGTACTCTGGAAGCTGGGGCCCGCAGAGGCCCCCCCCAGACCTGTCCACCTTTGACCCGCGCAAATGTGGCTGAATGAATGCTTATCTTTTTGCAGGATTTCTGACTGACCTAGCTTCCTGCATCCAAGCAGCAAACGCCTGACCAGAAATGCTGTGCTCACCTGAATTGAAGGGTGAAAGTCTGCGTCTTAGAACTTGAAACTTTTTGCTTGGGTGGGTCCATAGGCTTGAAGCCCAAAGGAAGGCTTGACATTCATCCCTGGCTTGATGTGCGGACGGACACAGACTGAAAGGCCATTGACGGTGGGGCGTTCACGTTGCTTCCATTACCCTGGAGACGGCATGATTGATGCACTGTTCGTAAGACCTCCCAAAGGTTGACATGGTGCAAAACAAATCCGAATACAAAAGGGCTACCTGTCGTTGCGGCCAACAAGGCCGCAATAGGCCGCACAGCCCACATGAACACATGCAACCCCTGAGCACAAATTCAAATGCTAGCTAACTATGAAAACAAGCGGCAGCTCCAAACAACGCCAAATGAACCTCAGTGGACTCTGTCGGCTGTGGCTTCCGGCCATGAAGAATGTAGAACAGCAAACGCCCTCCGTTGCCATTCCCATGCTTTCTCATGCGGCACCTTCACCCAAAACGTCGCCCAGGCGGTAATGGTCCAGCAAACGGCGCGGCAATGTCGCCTCCCAATGCCCACAAACAAAGCTTGATGTCGGCTGGCCATCCGACCATTGCAGCAGCAGAACATGCAATTGTTCAAAACGAGCCACGTCATCATTACCATCCAGCGACATAGGCTGTTGGCTTACGACTTCTTTCCATCCAGGCTGACCTCGGGTTGCAATTTAGCAGGATGATGGCAAGCATGCCGGTCTTATGCTGCCCAAAGCAACGCAAGCAAAGAGCGCGTAGAAGCTTTTTCCATGCGCAGATGAAAGTCTAGCTCAAAGGGCCCCTTTAAGGAAAAGTGGCAGCGGATACATCAAGGTGATGCTAGGTCAAAGGTGCATGCCCCGCGACTGCATTCAAACTGTTACGGGTATAGTTTTAAGTTGACCTACGCACCATCTTGAAGTATCGCCACGGGCCGCTGAAGCCATCGGTGGAAGGAGAGCTGCAGTTCTGCATTCTGCTTCGTCAACCCATCGGCCCATTGGACATCTGTTGGAACCCAGCGGATCCTGTCCCCATCTACCACCTCCTGGATGGCCCTGACGTCAACCAGGGACCGCTTATCCGCGAGGTTGGGGGTATCGCTCACTACCACATCGTACAAACTCTTAGCATCGACTACATGCAAGTGTAGAAGACGTTGTTGACAACGATGGGCAGGCACATTGTAGAGGAGTTCGCAGATGAACATGTTCAAGTAGCAACCTCTGTCGCATCCTTCATCAGCAGCGCTTGCCTCAGCAGCGAGTGTCGACCTGCAGACACGGGTCGAACGTCCTGAACGCCAATCCAACACTGCTCCAGGTGTCGTCCTCTGCAGCACCGTCGGACTGGTGACCAGGACGAGCACGCCAAGTTGAGAGCGGCATTGCTCCGCATTGGCTCAGGAGGCATCGCTGTACGTCACGATGGTGCTGGCGCGGTTCAGCGCCACGTCCTCGATGACGATGCCGTCCTCCTTGGTGGCGTGTGCAAAGTCCAGGGCCTGGTACAGCATCTTAAGGTCCGTCAAGGTGGTCTTGTCCCCCTTATTGGCCAGGCTATTGCATGCCGAAAGCTCTGGTCTGGTCTGTGTCGAGAGCCATTGAAGGCATCCGGAGATGCTGCGGAACTCGGCTCTCTGCTCAGGGGTCAATGTCTTGCTCAGGTCGGACCCCCTGGGGATCTTGCTCACGGACAGTCCCTCGATGAACTCGGCCTGGCAAAGGTGGAGGTAGTAGCGTCCACTTGGCCGCTCACGCAGTGAAATCTGCTTGCCCTTGAAGGTGAACTCCTTATTGGGCTCCACCTTGTTCAGGGACCCCCATTTGAAGGAGTCCCACACCGACTGCATGGGGCAATCCTCCCTGTGGACGCCGAGAAAATCGTCGACGTAAACGAGAATGACCGAGATGAGCTCGTCTTGCTTGTTAAAGAGGAGAAAGACCATGCGGTCAAAGGAGTGCTGCCTATACCCAAGCTTCTTCAACCTTTGCACCACCGTGTTAGCCCACAAGCGTGGAGCATTGGCTAGGCCATAGATGTTGGTGAGGACCAAGTACAAAGGTGCGGTCCAGCAGCTTGTGGCACGGGTGACTCCATCATCGGGAGGTCTAAGCTACAATGGAAGGGTTCTCTCGTCCGAGGGCTGTTCTCCCTGCAAGAAGGCTGTGGCCGCATCGTCGGTCCAACCGAACCACTTCTTCGAAGAGTTGCCGAACTCACGGTTGCTTCCGGCGACCAAGACCAGGAAAAGGACGTGCTCGCTAGTTCGGTTGGGGGTCGGACACTCCCTGTTGAGACGGCGAAGGTCGGGGTCATTGTGGCCAAGGGCTACGACCCGGCATTTGGCCCGGAGTGGTCCGAGCCCTTTTGCTTTGTCTCGAAAGCAACTGCGAGTCCTCAACACTCGCTTGGCCAACACCTTGTCCTTGAGAACTTCGCTGGCCTCTTGATGCGTGAGTGCTCTGACTGAGCGCCATTCCATCCAAGACGAGTGCTCCTTCTCCACGGCCTCCTTGTACGCCTGGAACTGGGCGGACGGCAAGTCCATGATTTTTCGCCATGGAATTTCACGATCCAAGGCTTTGGCTTCCATTCGGGACATGCCTTGTCGTGAGCTCGACTTTGGGGGCGCGTCCTCCCAATCGGAGTCCGAGCTGTCCGCCTCTTGGGCGGGCTTGTCCGAGCCGAGCACGTCATCACTCCTGTACTTGGATGCCAGGTAGGCCTCGTAGAACTGGTCACACGGGGGTCCGTAAAACTCGCCGAGGTTTTGTCCAAGTGGCAGCCGGTGTAGGAGTCCGTCTTCTTCGTAAAGAGTGGCGGCCAGACTGTCGAAGGTGCGCTTTGCCGGCAGCAAGCTGGGCGCCGTCACTCCTGACGCCGCTGAGCTCGTCACCGGTGTCGTGGGTGGTCTCGAGGAAGTCGAGGCGGAAGGTGGTGCTGGCTGTCCGGAATCTGCCGGAGTCAGTGGCAGCAGTGTTGCTGAAGGAGCCGGTGTCTCAGGTAGGTCGGGCACAGGTGAAGGAACATAGTCTCGAACATCGTCGGGGAGATCATCGAGAGGTGCCGGTGCCGCATCTCGAGCAAGGTCAGCTGTTGGTCCTGGGGGCTGTGCTGCAAGTTGCCCTCCTTGAGGTTGAGGAAGTTCTGGTAATCCGGGAAGTTCCTCGAAAGGTGCGCTGAACTCAGGAGAAAGCAGGTCAGCAGGCGGCTCTGGGTCAGGTACTGCTGGAACGTGCCCTTCTTGAGGTTGCGGAAGTTCTGGTAGTCCGGGAGGTAAAGCGGGTCTAGGCGTCGACATAGTCGTCAAGGGCGCCGGTGACCGGCTTCTCCGGAGTTTGCGTGGCACCGAGTTTCCCCGACGTGCCCCTTGTCCGACGTCTCCAAGTCGGGCATACACATAGGTGTTGTTGATGGTGCCGGAGAGTTGTGCTTGAGGTGGCTCGGGCATCGGTATGGGCGTGCCAGGTGCCCAGGAGGCTGCTGCATCAAGTCGTTGTTGTCTGGCTTGTTGTGAAGAGGTGGCTGCCAGAAGCTCACTATTCGACTGGTAGTCCATGAGGAAGTCTTCGTCGCCCAGGACCCGATGCAAAGGTTGAGCTTCAAGCATTTCTTCTTCAGCAGGAGGAGGTCCGGACTCGTCTGTCCACAAACTTTCAGAGAGGGCCTTGCTGGCGTCCTTAAGTGCCGTGACGTCCTGCTCAGTCGGGACCCATTGTTCAAAGCCAACTGCCGAGCGAAGCTGTTCGGTGGCCACAAGTGCCGTGGTCGTGCCGGACCTCACCCAGGCCAATTTGGTTGGTGCCGACGGGTCCCATGACAGGAACTTGGCCGTCACCCAGCCTCCCCTCTTTTTCGGCGCCTCCACCTCCAGAAGCAGCATGGGCTGCCTGGCTCCAAATCCGGGATTCGGAGGTTTCTTGTCTTCCTCAAAATTGCCCGTCTGATGGACTGTTGCACGTTCATGTCCGCGATCGCCTTGACCGCTTCCGAGCGCACCCGTTCTGCCGTGGCTGCCGGGTCTGTTGCCGGGGAGACGGCCAGTGCCTGGTTGTCCATGAAGAGCCCACCGGGCAGGCGCGGAACTTTTCCAAAAACCGCCTGAAAGGCGGACCTGCCCCTGCTCAGCACCATGCTATTCGCGGCATGGAGCGACGGGGCAATGAGCAAGTCCATCTCGGCTGCCGAGGTCGCCGAAAAAGTGTCGACCAACTTCCCGAGGATGGTCCGCAGGAAAGCGTTCTGGCGCTCCACGTGTGCAATCTTCCAGTGTGCATGCGGAGGGCAGTGTTCCACCAGGGTGCCGTGTGATTCCAATCGATTGCATCCATCCGGGTCTGCCGCCACCAAGGTGGGAAGTCCATAAGGTCGTAGCCAGACCCGTTCGAAGGCCTCATAGGCAATCTCTGGGGTGCGCCCAGACAGGACAGCGGCTTGGTGAAATCGTGTAGCCATCCACCATGCCCAGCACCATCACGTTCTCCCCGTCGAGCTTGCGGACGTAGAAGATGTCGAGCTCGACACGGTCACCGAATTGGGTCGCCGTCGAGGAAGTAGCCGAAGGTGGTGGTGCCTGTGGTGACTTAAGTCGGTCGCAGGTCGCGCACTTGAGCTTGCGGATGGCAGAGATGAAGTGCGCGGTGGGGTTGCCTTGGTGGCAAGCAAGTCGGACCAGTTCCTCCGCAGTGGGGTGTCCGAGGTTGATGTGTACGCGGGCGATAGTCCGGCGAACTTCTGCCGGCACTTCGGTTGAAAGCCCAGGAAAGGTGACGTCCGTCGGAAGGTCCGGAACCGGAGAGTCGGGCTTGGCCTCGGCACTGGCAGGTTGTACTTCAGGACGTCGCTCGCCATATGCGAACACCGCGTACCGCACCGCCTTGGCAAACTTTTGCTTGGGCTGCTGTATCTCGGAGAGGTCCTCGACCTCCACGCTTCGGGAGCCATCGGCATAAAGGAGGAAGGCGCTGCGACCTGCATGCACTGAATGCGGGCCAGGTCCATCCTGAACAGGTCGCCGATGTGCTTGCCCACGTCGCTGTCCACGTCCACGTAGAAAGGCCTGGTTGAGCTGGTCCCAAAGGAGCGCTCGAGCATCGTCACGATGGGGTCCCAGGCGGTCAGGTCAGAGACTGGAGCTTGGAAGGTGGCGAATGCCTGGTGCAAAGGAAAGCGCATAATGTCCTTGCCTCGGACGTAGTCGTGGTACAGGCCAAGGAGGGAGTCAACCAGCTTCGGAGGATACACCTGTGACGGCGTAGTGTTCTTGCCCTGGACTGGTATTGTATACATCCGCTCGGTCTCCGAGAGGCGCTTGTTGATCACGGTGGCGGCTCCAGGAATGTTGGTCAGGAACTTAAAGGGCTTGACGATCGGCTCGCCATCGACTGTCGTGCCGCCGTAGGCGCCGGAGTCAACGATGCACTCGGCAATGCCGGGGAAGTCGCCGAGGTCGCGAAACTCGTCCATCTCCCATAGTCGTGAGTGCCGTGGATTCTCCAGGACAAAGGCGCGGCCGCCGTCAAGCTGAAGATCCAGCAGCTTACGGATAAGCCGTCGCATCTCCATATCGTCTTGCCGTCGACGGTGGAGAACGTCCATCCGCTTGCTGTAGTTAAGGTTCTCATTGAAGATGGAGTACAAGGTGCAAGGGTAGGCCACGTGGAGAACATGGGGCCGCAACCGCTTGACCATCTTGATGACGTAGTCTTGGGTCTTCGGCTCCTCCAGGCGCCATCCGAAAACCTTATCGACCGGTTCCGAGGCGCTGAGTCCATGGCGGAAGGCCTTTGCCGTGATGCCCGCTTCCCCCGCAAACAGCTCCATGATGTCCACGGCGGGCGGTGGTCTGCCGGAAGTCGACAAGAGGCTGTCGTAAATCGCCCGCTCACGGGCCAGCACGCCTGCTGAGCGGGCCCAATTGCCACTCAGTCGTCTCCGTCTGCCCAGTCGTATTCCGTCTCCGTAGGCGGGTTGTGCAGCAGGCTCCATGGCGTCGAGTCCGACATCTCCGAACCACTCGGCATGGAGCGGGTTGATCGGCGCCTGCGCGCCGGAGTCGTCGAAGTCCTCGTTGGTGTTGCCGGTGACGCCTTGGCTCTGAGGCTTGGAAGGACGACGGGTCGATGGTCCCGCCGCTCGCGAAGGCACCGCCTGGGCCGGCACAGTATTGGATGAGGACGGCAAGGGCGGTTGCGAATTGAGCAACGATGCCCCGAACTTGTTGTCCAGGCGCTCGACCCACAGTCCTTCGTGGGCGTTCCACTTCCATCTCTTCAGGCACTGCTTGCAGCGAGCGAACTTGCCGTACGCGTTGCCGTACCGGACATAGTCGGGATGGCTGCAAGTTGCCGGCGGATGCGCAAAATTCACGTCCAGCTCGGGCGGCACGTCGAGGTAGATCTCGGGCGTCAGGATGCCGAGGTTCACCGCGTGGGCCATCTGGATGAACACGTTGCGCCTCAAGAGCTGGAGGCAGCGCACCAGGCGGCGCCATCCGCGAAGCCATGTCGGAGGTGTTGCCTGCATGGAGCGCCGGGGTCGGAGAGGACGAAGTCTGGTTCAAAGCTTGGGCCAGAAACACGAGCTCCGGAGGTGGGTTGTCCCAGTCACATGCGTCTTGGAGCTGCTTCCATCTAGTGCTGTCAGAGGGAACCTGCTTGCTAAACTCGACCACTGATATAGTCAGATGTCCGTTCTTGCGAAGTACAGGCACTGTCACTCCTAACTTGGTGAATGTAGCAGACGACTGGGGCAGGTCAAGCACCATGCCAAGCTCATCGAGCAGCCGGTTGGACGCAAGCAAGGGAATCTTTGCTTCGAGGACGCCCGCTCCAATCACTAGATCAGCCTCGCCTATGCCAGCTGGCATGTACAAGCGGTGCTTGGCTTTCACCGGGTCGCCGCTGCCAAACTGAAAAGCATCTGTGCAGGAGGCTCTGTACACGAGCAGGTCTCGGTCACGTAGAAAAGAGGTGTGGGATGAAGCCCAGGTCGTGCCGCAGCAGGTGCGCTGGCAAGCGGTGTCCAGGATCATCAGGCCGGGGAAGTCCGCGTCGCCATCGGTGGCGTGCTGCACGTCAAAGACCACATTGACGCTGAACATGGTGCCGTAGGAGGCGCTGTCCAACACCTCGATGGAGCCGTGCTCGGCGTGGTGCACCATGTACGTCTGACGCGGTGGCTTCTTGCCTCCCTTTCCGCCACTCTCCTGGCTCTTTCCTCCACCGGACTGTGGCACAGCGCCCTTGCCCGATACCTTGCACTCTGGGTCGCCACGCCAGTGCCCCTTCTCCCCGCACGCGGCGCAATGCGTCTCCCGCTTGAGGGTGGCAGCGTCCTTCTTAGGTCCTCCGGCGAATTTGCGGCCCAGACGCATACTCGACAGCTTTTTAGCTGTCACGCTCAAAACTTCCGCCACCTCGGCCAGGTCTGGGCCGTCCTCCTGGTCAAGGTCGCCGTCGTCCTCGCCCTCGTTGCCGTGGCCGGGGTCGTTGTCGTCGATGACGTCGTGGTCCGGCTCGTGGTCGTCAAGCTGGCCCTCGGCAGACTCCTGGTCAGCATCGCCCGGTGCTTCCTCATTCTGACAAAGCTGCCGGTTTTGCCGCCTTTGCCGCCGTAACCCGAGGAGGTGGGTGCCTGTCCTTTGGCGGTTCCGGGCGCATGCCCTTTGCTGGACCCCTTGCTGCGGTTCACTGGTTGTCCGTCCCGTCCGATCACAGGAGGCGCGCCCTTGAAGTCCGGGAACTGCATCGCCATGCTTTCGGCAATGTCCTCGAAGGCCAAAGAGTAGCGGGCGCCCACGAGGATGAGCCTTTGGTCCTGGTGTGACAGTCTGGCCCTTTCCAGGAGTCTGTTCCCACGGGCTTCGCTGTCATACATCAGGGCCACTTCCACCCCCACAGCTTTGAGATTGCGTTCGATGCGGCGATACCGATTGCCGAAGGCCTTCAGTCCTTCACCAGGCTGCCTCTGGATGCCCTCAAAGTCCGACAAGAATTTACGCTTCTGGAATATCTGTTTCTGCTCCATGGGCTGTCGCAGGGTTTCCAGTATAAAGTCTATCCCCTTGTCGGAGTTTATGACCTCGATTGGTGCGTGTTCCAGCTCTGCCTCCGCCTCCCCGGTGAGGCTGGTGTAAAGGACCAGCGCAGCCTCCCGAGGTGTCATAAAGGAGGACACCTGGATACGCCACAACGCCACCTTCTTGGCGAACTTGCTGTACGCGCGTAGGTCGGTGTGCTCGTACTTCCAAAGTGGAGGTGTGGGCGGTGCACCGCCCCTCCACCGCACCCCACGCGCAGGTCCCATCATGGGGTTCCAGCTCGAGGAGGACGACGAAGACGGTGCCGCCTGAGAAGTCATAACTTCCTTGGTGTCCAGCTTTGGCTTGTCTTGCTCTCGCTGCGCCGAGCTCTTGGCCTTAGCCCTCGTAGGTTGCGAAGAGGTAGTTGGCGGAGTGGCTGGGCATGAACTGGGTCGAGCCGTAGGTCTCCAAGTCGGGCCGCCAGTCCCAGCAAGAGGCTGCTGAGTAGCTCCATCCAACTCGTCCGGGTCCACGGTCGGGTCGAAGGTGGCGGCCTCTGATTCTGGCATCTCGAACCCGTCAGAAGGAGGGCCGTGAGGAGGGTGCTGCTGCCGCTGGCGTCTCGATATCGGTCCAGCTTGTCCCTCGGCAGGCGGCTCGCGGTGAAGTGCTTGCCCAGGAAGTCCATTAGGAGGCCTAGGCAGGAACATCCAAGTACCGCGGTCCGTCTGTCGGCGTAAAGCTTGGTGCGTTGCATAGAAGTCATTGCTCTGGCAAGTCGTGCATGTCCACTGTCCTTCGGCAGTCTGCGCGGCCTGGTCGGAGTCGCAGCGGACACAGCGCCATTCGTGGTTTCCCTGGATCGCGTTCACGGCCGCTTCCCTCTCCAAGGCTTCCAGCCATGGGTCCGGGCCGTCGGGGGCCTCAGGGAGTTCGCGTCCTCCATCGAGAGCTTGATCCGCCCATCCTTCCGGCTGACCGTCTTGCCCGTCAAGGCGAAAGATCTCCGTGTAGTCGTCGAGGAGGTCGCGAACGCGGTAGGTGAAGAGGACAAGCGGCCGAAGGTAGGCTCCGGTGCCAACTTATGCAGCCCAAAGCAACGCAAGCAAAGAGCGCGTAGAAGCTTTTTCCATGCGCAGATGAAAGTCTAGCTCAAAGGGCCCCTTTAAGGAAAAGTGGCAGCGGATACATCAAGGTGATGCTAGGTCAAAGGTGCATGCCCCGCGACTGCATTCAAACTGTTAGCCGGTTGGCTTTGCGGAATCCACGCGCGCCGACATGTCAGTAAATGCCAGAAATCTTCAGTTACCAAAATTAACAGCAAAGCCACTTGTGCCGCTTCGGCAGGGACACGATTCGGCGGATCCCATGGATCTTATGTAAACCTGCCATTGATGGACGACGAATGACAAGGGTGTCTTCCAAACAGTTGGACAAGATATTTTCCAACTTGACTAGCAGCATGACGTTTGCATCTTCAAGGATGTTGGAAGTGTGTTTCTCCCCTAAGTGGAGCTAGCAGCTGCCATTCAAGAGCGCTGCAATTCTTGGAGCGCACAGTTGGAGGCTAATTGGATGCACAATCCTGCCCCACATCCGAATGATTGGCAAAACACGTGTGGGGTTGGTGTCGGCTTTCCGCAAAAATGGTATAATGGTGCATATGAGTTCCTGGCCTCTCACATCCTGACGATGTAGGCAACCGCAGCTGAACAACCAGAGCCGCAGTTGCCACAGCAGAAGCCATGGACAAGCCGACAATGCGCTAGCATATTGAAAGTTGAAAGTCTTTCACGTTGTCATGAAAGTCTGTCATAATTCGTCCCGTAGTTTGTCCAATTGGTTGTCCAAGAACAGGACAAGTTGTCGTGCGGACGCCATTGGGGTACGATAAAATGTGATATTAATCCATATTCTCCACGTTTTACTTTTCATTCCTTGCCCATCAGAAGCCTAAAAAATCACATGAATTGGGCTTCCAGTGGCGTCATACCAACCACATGCTGACCTACTTGCCGCGCAGCATGTCTGTTTTGGAGCCAAGCGCCAAGCATACAACCAAAACATGTCAACACATGCAAAAAAAAACCAGGCTCGGCCACATCTGGTATTGCCCTCGAATCCAACCCTGCCAAAATGTCCCCGAATGCATGCACGCAAGCGATGTTTTCTCAGACTCCCGTCATGCCTCGCACTGGGACCGCGGATTGGCCGGAAAAGGTGCGGGAAAAAAATCGTGACCCTGAGCCACCTGGATGTTTGAACGCCGTAAGCACAAAGCAATGAACATATGTGTGGCTGGGTTTCTTACCCCGAGCCGTACGGTCCACATGGAAAAAATTCAAATTCAAGCGCCCAGCAATCAAGGTCACATACCCATATTATACTTTAGTATCGAGCTCGCCTTGGGAGGACTGCAGTGCCCGGGCAGACGTGGGCGGCTGCTGGAACACTGGCGCCTCGGGTCCGGTACGAAACCTCGTGCGCCCGTGCATACCCCACCCGCTGTGGCGCGCTGCCATGTCTGTGGGCGCGCTGTGATGGAACATCCTGTCCGTAGCCGTGCAGCCGGCAGCGGCCGGCACCTGCACAGCTGATGCCCCATCATTGGAGCGTGAGCGCCGATGCAGAGCTGGTTGCCGCTTCGGGTGGACAGGTAGGGACCTGTGGCACGCTGCCAAGGTCCAAGAAAGCAGGAAAGGTCCACGGCGGGGAAAAATCCACAGGTCACAACGAGGCCCGCAGCCGTGGCACCAGAGCGCCGGGGCCCCGTCGACGTTGGCAGCACTGCCCAACGGGAGGGAAAAGAGGCTGGCTGCCACAGCGCGGGCTGCCGCAAACGAGACAAGGCTGACCAGCGGGAGACGCATGCAGCCGTGGCACCACAGCGCCACGCAGGCAGGGCCGAACGGGCACGGCTGCAAGCGAGCATCCGGACGAATTGAGCTGCCACGGCTGCATACGTCTGGTCTGCCTTGCTCTCATTTGCGGCAGCCCGCGCTGTGGCAGCCAGCCTCCTTCCTCTCCCATTGGGCAATGTGCCAACGTCGATGGGGCAGCTCTCGATCTCAGCGATGTCCTCGTCGTGACCTTCTCTGCTCCACCGCTGGCCAGCCGACTGCCCCGGCGGGCCTCGCTGTGACCTGTGGATTTTTTCCAGCCGTGGACCTTTCCTGCCTTGGACTCTCGCAGCGTGCCACGGGTCGCCTTGGAGTACGGCTTCCGGTCATGCCCCGCACTGGGACCGCGGATTGGCCGGAAAAGGCGCGGAAAACAAATGATGAATAACATGGACATGAACATTTTTCCAGTGGAACATTAGTATTTGTGTTGAATCTTGAGGTTTCGGGGTTTAGAACCTCAAATTTGGAGCGTTGGGGGCGGTTTTGTTTCAAAGGGTCCGCGGATTATGGGCTAGGAGGGTGTATGCATTTAGCATAACGCCGGGAACCTTAAAGCCCGGCCCGACACCCTGAAACACCGAATGGTCTCACATCACATGCTGGAACCTGCATAAACATCAACCTGAAATTGCGTACCGTGAAAACCTTGCACTGTGCTGGTACCTTGAACGTTCGCCAAGGGCAGCTCCAGCAGCGACAACGCGAAAGCGCGTTGGGCTGCGACAGCCAGCATCCCTGTCCACCAATGGATGTTAGCTTGTCACGCCCCCGCGCGCAATCTTGCGGGCACTCCGCGCGCCTTCGCAGCCCGCCTTTTGCGGTTGGCGGCTGTTTGCAAGGCGAGGCCCGGCTCGCGCTCGGCCCCTGGCCTGAGCTCCCCGCTGCGAGTGAGTGGGCACACCAACGTTGTGTCAACGGCGACTTGGGCTCCGTGCCAGTGGCAGTCCATTTGCCAAGACTTCGATCTGGCGAGGGTCCGCCAATGGCAAGCCCACATTCATGTCGCGGAGAGAGCAATGTCCTTGAACGACCATGGGTATCGCTCAAAAACGTACTGGCTGCGAAGGTTTCGTTTTTTTTAAGGTTTTGTTAGGGTTGGGAATGGAGGAATGGATCC